GCCAAGTGTAAAGTTTGGTGTAGGGGGGATTATGGTGTGAAGTTGTTTTTCAGGGGTTGGGCTTTGCCCCTTAGCTCCAGTGAAGAGAACTCTTAAGATGTCAGCATACCAAGACATTTTGGACAATTTCATGCTCCCAATTTTGTGGAAACAGTTTGGGGATGGCCCCTTCCTGTTCCAACATGACTGCGTACCAGTGCACAAAGCAAGGTTCATAAAGATACAAATGAGAGAGGATGGGGTGGAGGAACTTGACTGGCCTTCACAGTGTCCTGACCTTAACCCGATAAAACACCTTTGGGATGAAAAAGAGCAGAGACTGAGAGCCAGGCTTTCTCCTCAGTGCTTGACCTCACAAATGCACTTCTGGAAGAATGGTCAAACTTTCCCATAGACACACTCCTAAACCTTGTGGACAGCCTTCCCAGAAGAGTTGAAGCTGTTATAGCTGCAAAGGGAGGGCCAACTCAATATTGAAACATATGGACTAAGACTAGGATGCCATTAAAGTTCATGTGTGTGTAAAGGCAGGCATACTTTTGGAAATATAGTGTATCTCTGTGTACTCTGAAGACTGGTCACTGAAAATTTAACACAGAAAAACGTAAGACTGGTAACTGAGGGATGAAATGTACATAATCTGGATGCTAATTACTGAGGGGTTATGCCAATGCTTTGAAGACTGTTCACTGAAGGGTTAATGCACTTACTATGGCGACTGAGGCATTAATGTACATATATTGGAAACAGGTAACGGAGGATTAAAAGCACATGCATTTAGGACAAGTTGTTAAAGTGGTGATGCATTTATTTTCATTACTTGTCACTAAGGAATTAATGCAGATACATTTTAGCCTATCAGTGAGGGGTTAATGCACATACTATGCAGACTGGTTTCTAGGGGGTTTATTGCTGTTGCTACATAAACTGGCCACTGAGAGGTAATACAGATTGACCAAGGTTAGTTCAAATGACTGTTAGTGTGAAAACTGGATGATGAGCTTTGCGTAGTAAAGTGCCATCTGACTGCTGGTATGGCTGCTGGTGATGTGTTTGTTATCTGGGACATACAGCAACAATGCCAATGTAGGAGCTGGGAGTGCAATCTCAAGCATGCATTATTTCAATGTAGTATTTTTATTTAAATTTAGTGGAGGCAGAATCCTCCAGGAGTGAAAGGAGAATTTACAACCTCCTTTTAACACTTGGATAAGAGTATACAGTCATGGCCGAAATTGTTGGCACCCTTGATATTTCTCCAGGAAATCATGTATTTCTCACGAAACGTATTGCATTAACACATGTTTTGCTATACACATGTTTATTCCCTTTGTGTGTATTGGGACAAAACAAAAAAAGGGAGGAAAGAAAGCAAATTCGACATAATGTCACACAAACCTCCAAAAATGGGCTGGACAAAAGTATTGGCACCCTTTCACAACTGCGGATAAATAAGAATGTTACAAGCATGTGATGCTCCTGTAAACTCACCTGGGGCAAGTAACAGGTGTGGGCAATATAGAAATCACACCTGAAAGCAGATAAAAAGGAGAGACGTTCACTTAACCTTTGCATTGTGTGTCTGTCTGTGCCACACTAAGCATGGACAACAGAAAGAGGAGACGAGAACTGTCTGAGGACCTGAGAACCAAAATTGTGGCAAAATATCAACAATCTCAAGGTTACAAGTCCATCTCCAGAGAACTAGATTTGCCTTTGTCCACAGTGCGCAACATTATCAAGAAGTTTGCAACCCATGGCACTGTAGCTAATCTCCCTGGTCGTGGACGGATGAGGAAAATTGATGAAAGATTGCAACGCAGAATAGTCCGGATGGTGGATAAGCAGCCCCAAACATGTTCCAAAGACATTCAAGCTGTCCTGCAGGCTCAGGGAGCATCAGTGTCAGCGCGAACTATCCGTCGACATTTAAATGAAATGAAACGCTATGGCAGGAGACCCAGGAGGACCCCACTGCTGACACAGAGACATAAAAAAGCAAGACTACAGTTTGCCAAAATGTACTTGAGTAAGCCAAAAGCCTTCTGGGAAAACGTCTTGTGGACAGATGAGACCAAGATAGAGCTTTTCGGTAAAGCACATCATTCTACTGTTTACCGAAAACGGAATGAGGCCTACAAAGAACAAAACACAGTACCTACGGTAAAATATGGTGGAGGTTCAATGATGTTTTGGGGTTGTTTTGCTGCCTCTGGCACTGGTGCCTTGACTGTGTGCAAGGCATCATGAAATCTGAGGATTACCAAAGGATTTTGGGTCGCACTGTAGGGCCCAGTGTCAGAAAGCTGGGTTTGCGTCCAGATCCTGGGTCTTCCAGCAGGACAATGACCCCAAACATACGTCAAAAAGCACTCAGAAATGGATGGCAAAGAAGCGCTGGAGAGTTCTGAAGTGGCCAGCAATGAGCCCAGATCTAAATCCCATTGAACACCTGTGGAGAGATCTTAAAATTGCTGTTGGGAAAAGGTGTCCTTCCAATAAGAGAGACCTGGAGCTGTTTGCAAAGGAAGAGTGGTCCAAAATTCCGGGTGAGAGGTGTCAGAAGCTTATTGATGGTTATAGGAAGCGACTGATTTCAGTTATGTTTTCCAAAGGGTGTGCAACCAAATATTAAGTTAAGGGTGCCAATACTTTTGTCCAGCCCATTTTTGGGGTTTTGTGTGACATTATGTCATATTTGCTTTTCTGCCTCTGTTTTATATTTGTTCCAATACATACAAAGGGAATAAACATGTGTATAGCAAAACATGTGTTAATGCAATACCTTTTTTGTGTGAAATACTTGATTTTCAGGAAAAATATCAAGGGTGCCAACAATTTCGGCCATGACTGTATATAGTGTTAACTTAGTTATTCCTATGGTTTGCTTGTAATACTGACTTAATTGATGTGATTTATTGATGTGATCCTACAGGCTTTTTCAAAGGTAGTTTTTAATCTTGATCTTTGTTGGAACTTACAAAATTACTTATGATACTAAAGTGGTTCTCAGCACAAAGCTTTTGTTTTAACCTTAATGCATTCTCTGCATTAAGGCATTAAGTGTAAAAAACCTTCCAACAACTCTTCCCTCTTTCCCCCAAACATTTACCTGACTCCTCTTATGATCCAGTACTGTCCCTGGCTACAGTGCTGCTGATCTCACAGGACACTCTGAGTGCAGCAGGAGCCTTCTGCTGCTGTTAGTCAAATTCTGTAAGGAGCAGGGGGCATGGCCAAGCAGCGCTGGGTGTGTCTATGGATACACATAGCCCTGTTTGGGAGCGTGCCCCCATAGGTGCCCCCTCAACACACTGAGAAGAGGAGTGGACAGTGCTGGTGGTAAGAGGTAAGAAGTCGCACAGAGCAGGTGAGTATACCATCTTTTTTTTTTAAAAGAAAATTTAGACTTTAGTAACACTTTAATTTGTAGAGTGCTTTCCAGGACAAGCGATTCAGAAAACAGTGTTGTGGACTTTGGATATCTGGATTTCATAAACCTGCTTTTAGATCCTAAGTAAATAGGCATAGTGACTGACCTTCTGATGGATAATAAACAGCACCTTTGCAGAAAAGTTGTGTGGTCAAAAAGTTGGAACAAGGGAACTATGACCCCTAAATCAATCTTTATTAGAACTCATACAGCTTGAAATACATGAGCTGAAAACTGATTTGGTTTTTGTAAACGAAAATTTCACAGTTGTTACTGTGATTCTGACTTCACTAGCTACCTATTGAGTTGCTGACCTACAAGCACACAGCCAGGTGTAGACAAGTGCAGTCTACATTCTCCACTGTAAGTTGTGTTTATCTGGAAAGACAATGCAGCTGGAGTAGGAAGTTAGGAGAAACTGTGTTTCTCTATGTTTCCCTTATCCCCTGAGGCAGTGTTCCGGTTGGCTACACTGCATCTATGTGACCCTGGAGGCTATCTTGGGTCATACAGAGTCTGTTTAAGTCACTGCCCCTGGTTTTTGGTGCACAATTGCTGGTTGGTTAGTGTAGGACCTACATCTACATTGAAGCAAGCTCCTTTAGTTTGGACTGGCCAGGCCGCACTCTACTCCCCATTTGGGGCACTGTCTCCAGCTCGGGCCTATTCACTCTCTGCTCTGACTGTTGTGAGCTCCCCACTCAGGTGTGCTCCCTGCCAGGTTGTTATACTGTTTTGCAAGCTCTACAATACATAATTTGTTGTTATCCAGGCCTTTGTGTGTTTACTGTCACCACTCCACGCTGCATCCACCTAACACAGTGAAGTGTGTAAAGTCTGAACACCTGTCTTTCATGCAGGATCAGGATTGCTACCCTCTAACTACCTTTCATAAATAAGTCAACAGAGCCTGTGTGTGGATGATTCAAGAATGAGGATAATAAGAGAGTTAGCTGCTCTTCAACTCAACATTAATGCTCTTATCTATACTTTGCTATGCCTTCATCTGTTTCTTGGTATGATCATCCTTACTTTGTAAGTAAATAAACCATTACTTTACAGATCCAGATGCTTTTTAACCCAGATTTAAATTTAATATTTAAACATCTCAAACGAAGCACACTCTACAGCCTCTATAAAACTTTATCTTATCTTTTAAAGAAGAACTCCGGGATAGGCAAATCACCCATTAGTACACCCCCCTACACAAAATACTGAACAGTTTACAAAATTTTGAAAATCTTTACCATTCAGGAGAAAGGTCTAATTGAATTTTCATGACCTCATCTCTGTAATTAAAAAGATAACAGCATCTGCTCTGCCAAGGAGGATCTGTAACAGCTGGATTACATCATATCCTCTCCTCTCTCTCTGCAGTAAAAGGAAACAACCCATTCCCATCAACCACAGGGAATAGTGAATGTGGGCAGGTACACTAGGTCTGTACATATTGAATGTGTCTGAGAGTCTTGGTCCGCTCACCACTGCAAGTGGGGCTGAATTACATCACTGCTTCATGGAGGGGTAGTTTTAGAAGGTAACATTATATTATTTTTTTTAAATGCACCTGGTCAAGAAAGATCCCTTCCTTTGACAATCTTCGCAGCTTGCACTCCAGATTGACAACTCTTGCCTCTTTTCTAACCATCTCAATTCTAAGTTCATCATTCTTCTCCTCCAGCTCTCGAATTTGCTTTCTGTACTTGTCTTTGTCTATCAGACATTGTGAGTACTGGGTCTGAGCTTCATCACGGGAACGATATGCCTTTCAAACAAAAACAAAAGAGACAGTGAAAATACAAAATTTCACCTTCCACTGGGCTATCAGAGATACGTTATTATGTTTTACATTATTCAAAGGTTGCAATAAAATCTTTCCACAGGACAGCATCATTCTTGATAATGTGTATTCTATTAAACTCAAGTGACCAAAAACATACTTTCTGGAATACCATGCAAACTGTTCAAACTGTTTAAATGTATCTGTGTATGGCATTCTTGGGAGTTTATTTAATGTCTTAATCTTAAAAATGGTTAAAGTATATATTTTATTTATTTATTTATATTGTAAAACTATGTAAAACTGAATACTGAATTTTCTTGAACTGCGTGATGTTGATTGGATCCAAACTGGAGGGACAAGTAGATTGCACAAAAAGTCCCCAATGCAGGCAACCTGCTCCTGTGCTGTGCTGAACTGCTGTCACAAAGCAAGCAAAACAGACCCTTTCCTGATAAGGACTGGGGTCACCAAGGAGTGGAGTCTAAGGGACAGGCAGTATTCACCAGAAATCTGCTCATCAGTAATTGGACTCCCACCCTCAGGTTGCTTCCCCAGGAACTGGCACATGCAGGAAGATATGATAAGACCCTGGCAACCAGGGGACTAGAGAGGGAACAGGGAAGCTAGCAATAGCACTGAAGATAGATTGCTTGAAGTGCACAGTTATGAGGCCTGGGAGGAGCAAAGCTTTTCAAATGGAGTGTACTAGATATAGCTGCACTCAGCTGCAAGTGCTCAGGTGTGCAGCATTTAGGAAACAGAGTACACCAAGAGTAGCTGTGCCCTGCTGCAAGGGTTCAGAGCAGCAGAATGCAACAGGTGGAGCTTACCAGGAACATAGCCAGAGGCCAGGAACAAATGGTGCAGCGCACCAGGAACAGTGCCAGTGGCCAGGAATAATAGGTGGAGTATTCCAGGAAATTTTGCAAGCAGCTTGGAACAAGAATGATAAGTAGCTGCTAAGGTACCCCTGCTTTTACACAGCCTCCTTACATGTCTAGGGCTGGGCTTCAGATGAAAGTATTGATGGAACTTGCAAATGAGTTGTGTGCAAGGATGTTGAAATCAGCACACAGGATCCTTTTTTCTGACCTTTCAGTTGATTAAATAATACAGCTTCTTGAGCTTGGAATGAAGAATAGTATGGACCTCAAATTCCTCTAAGGATTCAATAGAAGGGTGGGACAGACAGACAGGTCTAGAAAACTGAGAGGCTTCAATACCAAAACATGGAAAGAATTGGGAATACAAGCTGGGAAGGAGGCAAAATTTGTAGGTAAGCAGATTGATTCTGGCAGAGACTTCAAAGGACCAATAAAGTGAAGCTTGAAGCAGGGAACTTTGAGATGGGGGTTTTGGTAGCAAGCTTGAAGCAGGGAACTTTGAGATGGGGGTTTTGGTAGCAAGCCAAACCTACTCATTGAGATTACAGGAGCTGCCTGGGGATGATGGTTTTGACAATGAGTGGCCAGGATCAGTGAGACTTGAGATCAAAGGAGTTCATTAAGTGGAGAATCTGAGTGACAGCCAGTATCTCTGAAGTGTATGGAAAAGGGAGAGGAGTTCATTTTAAAAATCAGTCTAAAACCACCCAAATGATTGTGCAACCTTCGGAAGGTGGGAGGTCTGTGATGAATTCCATACAAATTTCTGTTCAGTGTTTGGCCAGAAAGGCAAGTGGCTAGAGGAGACCAGAGAGACATATGTTGAAGAATTTAGCCTGAGAGCATACAGGGCACAGGACTCAGGAACAGGTATTTTGGGTAAAACTCAGAAATGTGCACAGTTGCACATCCGAGAAGACATGCTGCCAGAATGAGGGACTTAAGTATCCATTACAATTGCTTTATAGTCTATAAGCACTGTTACTTTGGTGGGGGTGTGCCTTTGTTTGGGGGGGGTTGGGGGACACCTCTCAAAGAACCCTTTCAAAGCACTAGGTATGTAGGTGTCTGTGTTTAATAATTTCAAGAAGAGACCCCACACTGGTTTTAATTCTATTTTTGAATTCCAGCATTGCTCCTGTAACATGAGAGCACTTCTGGACCATGTCATGTGAGCGGTTCATCTTGATGCCCTAAAGTGTCACAAGACAAATTGTTTTCTTTTAGTTAATGGACATGTTGGTCATCTTGATGCCTTAAAGTGTTTCTAGACAATTAGCTATGGAGATATTATGTAAGGTTTAAAACCCCCGTCAATTTACTTTTTACTTTCTATGTCTCATTGAGGAAATATCCATCTAGGTCCTGTTCCGGGGGTGCAACAGGAAGTAAGAGACAATCTCTACAAAGTGAGAATAATATCATGGTTAGTCAGTGAGTAACAGAAACTATGTATCCTTTGGAAGATATATGGGTTGATTTAACTGGAGAGTGCAAAGTTTGGTGCAGCTCTGCATAGCAACCAGTCAGCTTCCAGGTTCCATTGCCAAAGTATAATTGAAAAATCTGAGGTTAGAAGCTGATTGGCTGCCATGCACAGCTGCACCAGATTTTGCACTCTCCAGTTTTGGTAAATCAAACCCATATTCTCACTTTTTATTTGGGTGACAGCTATGAACATTTTCAAATTTCATTACTCACTGCCCTGTTAAAAATGGTCACCAGGACAAATAGGCAGAGTGAATCTCTCCAGTGAGGATACAGACAGCTTTAGGCTCGATTCATAGTAAGTTTGACAGGGATTCTAATTCTTTCACGGTCTAATTGAAACTGAAAAAAGTTTTGGCTAGATTTACACTTTAACTTGGATTTTCACCTGCAGAAAAGCTTTTAGAAGCAAGTGTTCAATTTGAAATTGTAGCATTGCAGATTTTATTTTCCCCAGAAACTGTCCCTCTTTGATGAGTGAAGTGCTTGCATAGAATAATATTATTGAAATGCTGCTGTTAGCATACAACACCTAATATCTTGATGAATATGACTCCTTTATGAAAACGCTGCATATTTTAGAATATATGGAAAGACTAATGGGTCATATACTGTGCATGACTGCATAAATAGCGTACTATTGTGCCCAATACACTAAGAATATATTGAGATTAATGGTAAAAAAAGATGGCACTGTCACTGTCCATCCACTATGTATCGATGACATTGATGGTCATATTCTTGGTTAATCATAAAACAACATAACACCAAATTCCATATTTGCATCAGGCATTTTAAAAGCACTGATAAAATACCTGATCTCGCTCTTTCTCTACTTCCTCTAACTGCACCATTACGGTATTCATGCGGTGCTTATACATCTCACAATCTTTAGATAGCGTAGAACACTTGAGCTCCAAGTCTTCTTTCTCTTCCAGGTACTGTAAACATTTTGGCACAGTTAACAGAGATAATGGCAAGCAGAACAATAAAAACAACATCCCAGCATCAGGGTCATCTGTGATTTCTAGGTCTACTAATGTACACACTTGCTGTAAAAAGGCCTATTTAATGTAGGCTGGACTCAGTGGGGGCAGAAGATTCTCCTACTGTCAGTGCTTCAAAGGACCTGACTGTTGAACTGCAAGCCAAGTCAAGCAGATTACACTGGGAAATTGACTCTCCCATGCCCTTGTGCATCTTTGCTTTGGGTGGCAGTACAAAAGGGGACAAAAAGAGATAAAATAAACCTGTCACAACTAAGCATACGATGGAAAATGCATAAGCAGAGCAGGGGCGGACTGACAACTCAAGGGGCCCCCGGGCAATAGGGGATCATGGGGCCCCTGTGTCCTTGCCCAAACTCAAAAAAGCCTATGAAAAAAGTACCAGGGGCATTTCATGGGGCCCCCTAATGACCCCGGGCCCTCGGGCAGTGCCCGAGTTTCCAAATGGTCAGTCCACCCCTGAAGCAGAGGTTATTGCTTATTAGCAAAAACAATCTGTAGATCTGCAGATCTGTCAACTGTAATGGTCTTTGTTAGCTACCCTTTTTTTTTGTGGGTAGCAGAAAAAGAAGGGGAAAAAGTATCATTCTAGTCATGGAGCCATTTGCTTGAGGAATTATAAAAAATATAGGCCAATTTGTAAGTGGTCCCAAGGTCTTGTACCACTTATTTTGTCAAAGTTGGGAACAAACCTCCTAATAGATAGGGAACCTGTGCACGTGTTTGACAATCATCCCTTTTTCCCTGTCATCCTATTCCATGTGGTCACATGATATGTTACATGGCTTGGAGACACAAGGGAAAGTAAAAATTGCCCTTACTCCCCAGCAGAACCCCAGTCCGGTAGGAAGTTTGAATTTTAACTAAATCTACTAAAGTAAACAGACTAAAGCCTGGGCAGGGGGTGGCTCTAAAAGTGAACCTACCCATTGAGGTGGGTAGCCTAACAAAATAACCGAGTTTTCTGCTCCTCCACTGGGCTAGTCCATCCCTGACAGTCCCATCAGCACTCTTCAGAATCTGAAGGACTGAAACTTTCATCAGTACTAACCAGTATCTGTAGAACTCCAAAATTGACCATTGCTTTCCAAGTGCTGATATGCTTATTTTCCACTTTTTCTCAAAAGTCAGTTAAGCTCTCACGTCAATCTATAAGCACTTCCCTTGGATGCTAACAAGTGCTTGCAGCCTACAGACAGCTATGACATGTGACTGTCACAATAGGGCAGAGGTGTGTTTGATGGGTGGGCTGTAATTGACCGGCTGGTTTCACCTTCTCTGTGTTATGTGACAAACAAATAATGCACCCAGCAGGTGAATAATTGGGTCTTGGTGGACAGGCAGGAGTTTCTGTTCATTGCTTAAGCACCAGTGAATTGTTTGTAAGCTAAATAGCTTGAGCTATTTTGCAAAGAAAAATAAGCAAAAATTTCACTCTCTAGATGTGCAAAGCTTGTAGAGACATACCAAAAAAGTC